CCTGTATATACATATATATAGATATGTTTTTATATAGAAAAGTTTTGTTTTTCCCCGACTTTACTATGTAGCATTAATGAAGCTGGCAAGCTTTTAAAATAATTGCAAAAAATGCGAGTATAATTGTCTTTTATGTTTTCGATTAGCCACTTTATAGTTAAATTGAGGCCACCAATTAATCAAACCTTAATTCTGAAAACATTTACTAATATATTATATGAAGGTTATAGTACATGAATTATATGAAACAGATACAACTACTTTTTTAAGCAAAAAAAAAAATACATACATTCTTAAAAATACGTTTTGTCATTTTTATTCTGAGTCGAGAATTGTCTAAATTTTGTTTACCAATAATCTTTCAATTAATAATTATAATTCAGTAAGAGAAACAGTTAGTAATTATATTAACTTTCCTTAATTGTTAGCTGTTTTCTGAAATTACAATTTAAATTCTGCGCCACAAGCGAGCGAGTTCGTTATATGTGACGTCACCAATATGGCAAGCATGCGCACTGCACAACACTAGAAAAAACACACACAGACTCGTTCGGTATTTTTTAGGCACAAACTGTAATCAGAGTTGCAGCCGAGCTGGAAGTGAATGAAGAAGCAAAACAGCGAGCAGCAGCAACAGCACAGTAGGCTCAGTGAAAATGTATAATTTAATTTAACTTAATTACAAATTAGTTGGCCGCGTTAGATTTCATTTTTCGTTTTGCCCCACAGCGCCCGGCAGTACGTAGCAAACGTTGAAAAGCAACGCAGGCAGTCACAAAGCGATTAACGAGCGCTACAACCGCTAACCCATAGCACACAAACACACACATACATTCATACATACATACATACACACGCACGCTCGCACCGCCGTGAAGAGGAGGTGGTTGAAAGCGTAGAAAGACCACAAGCAAGAAAAATGCAGCAGCAAAATTTTAGCCGGGGTCGCCGAGCAACGCGGGCGTTGCTGCTGATAGCCGCATGCTGTCTACTGTCCGCTGCCTCAGCAGCCGGCGCCGCTGAGCCTGAGATCGATGACTTCGATGATGACGGGCTAGTGGAAGATGTTCAGGTGAGCACAAAAAAAAAACGTGGAAGCATACATACATCATCAGACACACGCATATATATAGATATTTAGATATGCACAAATACATGTGTGTGTATATGTTTGGTGGCCGGTTGCCACCGGCGCACAAAAGTACACGTCAGTAGCAACAAAGTTTGTTGTTGTTCTATTCTGTTCTGTTTCATGACACAGGGAGCATTATAGGGGTTAATAGTGTATGCGAGAAAAAGCGTGACCGCACTAAAAGTGCTGACCCGCGTTACAATTTCGATTTGCACTTGCATACACACATAAAACCAGACATATATATACTAAGCCAACAAACTTACGCAAGGCCCCCCTTTCGCCACACTGTCTCAGCTTCTATCTCTGCGTTATACTCTCTCTTACTCGCTCTGCTACGATAAAAATTAAAGTGTGTCAGCCGCGTGTTTTTTTTTTTTTTGTCTTATTTGCTCCCTGTACCACAGTAAATAGTTAGAAAAGGCTATATGGTTGGAGCATCAACAGGCTAATGCTCCTCATCACGTGCCTTTGCCTTTGTGAGTTTCCAATGGAAAAGTTCTAGAACTTTCAATTTCATATTCTGGTTTATCTCAAACTGTGTTACTTATTTTATCCCTTACTAATTCTCTTGAGATTGATCGAGTCTTTAAGGGTATGTCTTAAGTTCATAACATTTCTTTATCAATATATCTTATTTCTTCAGGAGGAGCCCATCAACATCCCTGGCGAGGAGCTTGTCTATGAGAGTCCTGTGATTGAGCCCAAAAAGTTTCATTTTGCTGATCATTTCGATAATGTTGAGGCCTCTCGCAAACTGTGGGTGAAATCACAAGCCAAAAAGGACGATATTGCCGAGGAAATAGCCAAATATGATGGCATCTGGAGCTGGGAGTCACCGCTGCGCATTGTTTGGCCCAAAGATAAGGGCCTGGTGCTCAAGTCAAAGGCCAAGCACGCAGCCATTTCGGCGCGTCTCAGCAAACAGTTCGACTTCAAATCGAACAAACCGCTGGTGGTGCAATATGAGGTCACAATGCAGGTGGGTCAATAACCAAACTAAGCAACCAACCAACCAACTGGTCATTGCAAACACTACGTAGATTGCATCAGACGCCGGTTCCTATGGATTGACTAATCCAATTAATAGCCACAAAGTACAAGCTAATCGACCCAATTTCAATTTCGTTTTCCACAGGAGGGTCAAGAGTGTGGTGGCTCGTATCTAAAGTTGCTGTCGTCGGGCAAGGAAACCGAAGATCTTACCACGGTATGTCGCAGACCCAATTGAAATATGAATTGGCTTTGATTTCCATGTTTACTTATTGGTTTTCTTTCTTTCGGTTTTTGTTTTTGTTTCAGTTCAATGACAAAACACCCTACACCATCATGTTTGGACCGGACAAGTGTGGAAACGATGTGAAAATGCACTTCATATTCCGCCATGTAAATCCAATTAACGGCACCATAACCGAGAAGCACTGTAACAAACCAAAGTAAGTGGACCCACATATGCCCCACAATCTCTCACACTCACACACACACATACAAATCCGCGTGCAACCACCGTTTGCTGCTTTATTTTGTATGCTATGCAGATAAGTCAGCGCATCTATGGACATTTATATGCCTATTATTCACATGGATTAACCCCATGAGCAACAGCTGCCGCTGATTGAGTTCATTCACTTGTTATAGCCGGGCAAAGGGCTCTACAATTTTGTCGCATATAATTTAAAATTTATGCAGGCATCGCTGAAGTCAGGCTATATATATATTCTTAATCTGTGTTGAATCGTTTCTAATTTTTAGACACTTCTGCAATTTAACTTTAGTCAAATATTTTAAAATTTGCATATTATACCTTTTCCTTTGTTTTTCATAATTTTTAGGAACCGTTTGGAGGAGCCATTCAAGGATAAGCTGCCACATTTGTACCAACTGGTGGTGCGACCAGACAACAGCTTTGAGATACGCGTCGATCACAAGATCGTTAACGAGGGCTCTCTTCTGACCGACTTTAAGCCGCCAGTCAATCCGCCCGCAGAGATCGATGATCCCACTGACCAGAAGCCAGCTGATTGGGATGAGCGCGAGAAAATACCCGATCCCACGTCACAAAAGCCCGATGATTGGAATGATGATGCACTGCCACAGATACCCGATACCAGCGCCAGCAAGCCAAGTGGCTGGTTGGATGATGAGCCCGATATGATAGCCGACCCAACTGCCATCAAGCCCGATGATTGGGATACGGAAATCGATGGCGAATGGGAGGCACCGCTCGTGGACAATCCTGCCTGTGAAAAAGCACCGGGCTGTGGTAAATGGAAGGCACCACTGATTGCCAATCCGGAGTACAAGGGTAAATGGCGTGCACCCATGATCGAGAATCCCAATTACCAGGGCAAATGGGCGCCACGCAAGATCGCCAATCCTGACTTCTTCGAGGATCTTATGCCATTCCAAATGACGCCCATTGTAAGTAGCTGGAAGGGCTTCTAAATAAGAACTGCCGACTATAGATTTACTCTTCCAGAGCGCTATTGGCCTGGAGTTGTGGTCCATGTCCAATGAAATACTTTTTGATAATCTTATCGTAACGGACGACGTGGACGTGGCTCGTGAGTTTGCCGCCAATAGCTTTGATATCAAGCGCCGCTATATTGATCGCGAATCGGTAAGTTTACTGCCACGCCTACTCACCAACAAATACCATAAAAACAAGAAACAAATTGAATACTAACTTCCTAATGTTGAACTTCAAAAGAAAACACTGTGGCATCGACTGATGCGGCACATGAATTATAAGCCCGGCTGGTGGGCATTATACTTCCTATATCTGCTGATACCCGCCAGCTGCTATATCTTCTATTTGTATCGACGATCCAAAGAGGTCACTTTTCGATTATATTAGACATATATATTTACATAAGATATAGCTACACCTGCAATTCACACTCGCCTATCGCCTACGCCTTTGCACTTTGCACCTTATTGCTATTTGCTGATTTCATTTTGTAGGACTCATTGGTCAACAAGGTACTTGAGCTAACCAAGACCTATCCCACGGTCTGGGGTATTGGCCTGCTCGTATTCATATCAGTGGTTGTCATCGGCATCTACTGTAGATTTGGCAAAGCTAAGAGTCAGGTAATGTTGCTAGCCTAAAGCCTAACAACTGAGCTTATTTTTAAGTTATATTTCTAATATCAATCGCTTGCAACCCAATAGGATTCCGCGGCCACTGCTGCTGCTGCTAAGGCTAAGAAAACAGATGTGCTACAGCCCGACGATGAGCAGGATATCGCTGCTGATGAGAACGAGAGCGAAGAGGATGCTGATGCGGCACCAGCGCTGGTACCTAGTGACAGCAAGACAAACATTTCAACAAACTCTGACAGTCCCAAAAATAAAAAGTCTGATTTAGATATTAAAGAGCAGCTCAAGCAGAAAGATGAAGAGCCCACACAGACTGAGGTAGCTATGACCAAAACGCTTCATTGAAAATAAATTTTAATTTAAGAAAATTCACTTCCATTGCAAAATATCTAATGCCTATTTCCTTTCTTTATAGAACACCACGAAATCTGCACGCAAGCGTACCGTACGCAAGGATTAGAGGGCGTGGCACAATCCAAAACGTCTCTCGGATTTACAAAATTTACTTGAAAACTTAAACTAATTCCAAAAAAAATGTATAACAGCAACGGCAACAAGAGCAATGGCAGCAACAATAACACCAGCAGCAGCAGCTACTACAACAAAAACACCACAAACTGTTTTAGATTTTAATTAGCACCCGATTCATATTCATTGAGCACTCGTACAAACACTCACGAATACAGCGAGTTCGCCCCAAATACCAATTCTGTTGTTGGTAACTCCATAGTTGACGATCGCATGCAGCTGTTAATTAAATGAACTAGTTTTTATGTGGTTTGGTTTAGTCATCTTATACGTACGGCACGTTCTGTATTATTCATTGTATTTCTGTTCGTATACTCTCCACATATACTACACCCTATCCCTAATACTGTCTCATATGTCATGTTCTGTTCTCACTTTTCAATGTAAAACCAAAACAAAAACAACAAAATATATAACTAGACAAATGAGGGAATCAAAGATAAATGAAAAACCAATAAGCATGCAGACAAAGAAAAACTCCAAGCGTAGATAAACAGTGAGGGAAGGAGAGAGAGAGAGAGCAAAGGGAAAATATCTAGTTTAATATTATGTAATTTAAACGAAATTTTATGAATACGCTAGTTATACTCAGAGTTAAAATAAATTTCATTTTTCATTTATAACAATGAAAATTTACAGCGAAAATAAAACTGAATGTCAAAACCAACTGAAACATGTATATCAATAAATAATTGCTTTCTACCTAAGCAACAACAACAACAACCGACGCTCAGCAGCAACCCGGAAGGACTAACCAAGTGGCGTTCGCATCCAGTCCAAAGTCCTGCATATCCTTTTTTCCACCACCAAATGTGTTGCCTGGTCCAGTGTTAATTTAAATGTCAAGCCCTTGTAAATTCTGATTGAACATTTTTGTGGGTAGCAGCCGCCGCCCCCGCAGTAAATCGGCTTCCAATTGGATTTATGCTTGGTGGTGCGTGCTGCGACAGCTACCGCAGCGCAGACAGCGGCGCATATTTTGTGGTTTTCAGACATTTGCCCACTAAATAAAAGAGACAAAACATTACGATTTCTAGATTATCTAAATGCGATGAAGTGCAGCCATTTGGCATAAAACTTGCCAATTGGTCAAATAAATTATGAAGTGTTTGCAGGAAATGAAGCACGCGATAGCGGATTAGAACCTTAGTATAAAGCTTATAACTTTTTAGATATGGCATAAAGTGAGTCAGTTAAGTAATAACGCAGCAGTATTTGTAGATGTGGCTCGTAGGCTAAACAACTTTGAACTAGAATGTAAGTTATACAAAATGCCAAGAATTTGACATTCATATACATTGAAACATTGCATCATTAGGTTGTTATTAAAGTCTAGATATGATTAAATATTCTCCAACTCTTATATTTCGTATTCGCTCAAACTAACTTTTCTATATCTTGAATAATGTTAGTCTCCAAAAGATATAATCATGGACAAGAGATACAATCATGTCCCAAAAGCAACGTCCTAATTCAGAAGAGTAAAATCTTATTGATAAGCTACTGCTTTTATCTCAATTTCTTTTTCATTTTGCTTTATATTTTTTCTGATTCGCTTTAAACAAAGTTTGACATGAAAACTTTTACTGATTTCTAAACTTTCACAGACCAGGTTTATTTTGGTTTTCGAGTTTTTAGCGCTGCCTCAAAGTTGTTGAAGTCCTAAACAAATATAAATATCTTTGTCGCCTTTCGCAAGATTTAATTCAATTTCCTGCGCCCATAAACATCGCCAGGCCAGACACTGGCTGCGGCCTGAAAGGCACAATTGTTAATGAAATTGTTATGACAGCCCCAAGCTAATGCACACACACACACACACACACATGTGCATATGGGGATTGGCAAATACTTTCTATTCAAATTAGATTTATGCCCGCCAACAGATGTGTTGCGATTCGAATTGCGTCTGGAATCAACCCGTCGACCTTTTCGGTCACAAAAGATTAAATGGTTGCGTGGGAGGGCGGGTTAACTGATGTCTGGAGCGATATCGACGCACTTAAAAGGATTAACATTTTTGTGCTGACTGCGGCTAGAAATGTTCCCGTTGCATATTAAAAAAACATGGCAAAAAATAAAAGAATTCAGAGTGGGAAATGCGTTCAGATGCTCGTAATTCATAGACAGACGAAAAAATAAAAGAAAACTTGCAGTTCCACTTAACGAATATTATATGCCCTTTTAGACACAGAGTTAGAGAGATATGGAAAGCTTAATAACCGAGTGAGAGACATATGATATAGGTCTCTCTGAGTGAATATATCATGGGATATATGTCATAAGAGACATATGACATAGATCTTTCAGAGTAGATATTTCATGGAATATACGTTTGAGAAAGTAAAGAAGCTTCCAGTTGCAGAGTTTGATTAAGATACCTTAGAAAAGTTAACATTATCTCATACAGTACCATCTACCATCTACCATCTACCAATATTGAATTCCTACGTCATATAGTAAAAGGAATTTAATGTCCAAAAACTTTATTTACTTATAAGAAGCATGAAGGTCTATTGATATATCTAAAAGATATCACAGACAAGCAGTACTTATAAGCAATCCATATTATATAATTATCCACTCCGATTAATTTCCACATGTGCCCCCTCCGTACCCTCGGAATTACTCAGAGACATATTTGCTCGACTTTTTATACCATTTCCTGCTCTTCGCTACAGACTTCATGGCAAAGTCAGAATACCATGTTGGGTAGCCAGCTGAAAGGCGGCAACGTCATGTGATTGCAACCACAGTGCGTCTGGCGGGTGGCGTCCAGCGGGTAGCCACACCACATTTACTTTATGCCATGCGTAAGCATTATAATTTTAATAAAAATACATTTTTTTTTGGTCTTGTCAAAAACAACTTTGAACCCTTCAAGCAGACAATAAGCACGCATACTACCCCGCCCAGCCCCGCCCCTCACGTTATGCAGCCCATCAAAAGATTTCATAAACGGCGGGCTTCCGAGTGAGCGCTTTAAGTAGAATTTATTCAACTTGAGGGGTAGTTGCAGTAGTGGGGTCTGTGCCCCCCTTTGGGAGCTGGCAGTCGGACTTATTGCAGCAACTCCGTCTCCGGGGCCAATCGATGCGTAAGCAAAAGTACCACGCCATATGTAATGTTATTGCAGGCCCTTCCTCGCCACTCGCCAGAGTTGACAACTTTTTGGGGCGGTTGCTCGCAAGGGTTGCAATTTGGCTCTAGAGACCCCAAACCCCTCGTGTCGCTCTTAGCGAATTCCGTGCAATTAAATCGTTCATTTCGGCAACTACCAGCAGACACGAGCGGCCCATTAATTGCGGCTCGATTTCATCATAAAGATTACAGCTTATAGATTAAAGATTAGAGATAAAAAATCATATAAATAAATTGGTTTTTCAACTATGCGACTCTAATAGCTCTCGCAGTGCACACAATTTATTTGACTTCAATATTATTTTCATTGATTTCGTGACGCGATAATCGTGTTATGGCCCCAATCCAACCCCAACCATTTACATGTTTTGCAATAACCATTTTTCACTCGAATGAATTGGATTTCGGTGCCCGGACATGAAATTGACTGCTCGAAGGATCTGATGTCAATGCAAATGCCTTTCAATTCATAAACAGATTTGCATATTTCAACTTACCTAATGAATGTCCTTTCGCTTCAAACTCAATTAACCCACACACTTTCCAGAAGCGACTCTAGATTGAAAGGAATATTTTAATGATACTTTCTCGTCAATAAATTCAGCTCAATTTCATTTGCTCGTCTCATGCTTTCAAATTTCCGGAATTTGCAAATTTGCAATAAACTAGAAACAAAAAGAGAAGGCTTATATATGCATAGTAAATAATTATGAATTAAATTTGAGTTATTTTATTTATTAATTCTGTTTCATTAAACAAATCGCAGTTATTTGTCCTTTACTTTTTCATTTCTAAATTCAATTATTGTAATAAATAATCATGATTATATTTATGTATCAAAGCTCAAAACATTGTCTATTGCGCCTATAGTTACAGCAGTCACATTCTTCAGACTAATAATCGCACCCGTATTAAAGAAACATTTGCAAAATAATTACATAATTACATACACTAAATTTGAATATTGGCGCCATTTATGTTCGCAGACAAAAGCTGATTATCCTCGTCGTTGCTCACTGACAAAAGCTTATTGTATAAAATTAATGCACACTGACAAAAGCTATAAAAGGTTGATGTCTTAACTAACTGAACGAAATGAACATTTGCACATCTGGCGAATGTATTTAAAACTAAACTTTTTTATGCACCTAATCAAATAGCTCCACACCAAACGAAACGTTCATCAAAGACAACGAAAATAAAGCAATAGTCTGAAGAAAATGGTGAACGAAACTGAGAAACATCGAAGGATTGCGAGGACCAAAAAGCGTATTTGCTTTAGCCAATTTTCTCTCCCTTTTTATACACTAGCTGTTAGCAGTTATACTCAAACTGTATGCAGTACACCTTATATTTGTAAAGTTTGCATGCACGATCTTGTCGCATTTGAAATTCTTAATTTAAATCAATTTTATATATTATTTTTTATATTATATTTTATTTGATAAATGTGCAACAGGACATTATATTACATTAGTATATTCCAAAGGCAGCAAAAATAGAATCCCCGCATCTTAAGAGCCAGCCGCTCCCTTCCCTGCGTAGCTGAGCCAAGGACACAAACAATGTGCTGGTCATTAATATCCTTGGCCAGTTGCAAATGCCAAACGCACCGCAATCGGGTGGTGTAAAAACATTATGGTTTGTATTGTAAATCGTTTATCCTCATTACGCGAACAGTGCCAGAAATTTACGGAATTAAACGGGAAGAAAATACTTTTGAGAGTGAGTGAAAAGTGATGGACATGTGAATACCCTGTTCGAAAATGTTTTGAAAATGGGGTGTCCTAGAAGTTATTAGTATGTTATGAGCTTTGAGGTATACCACGCAGATAAACAAACTTAAGCTGAGGGAGATTAAGATACGATCAGAGGTATGAGTTATTTATAGAAGCTGACTATATTATAAACACCTTTAGCATGGTAGATCTCTACTCTCAGTTGTCATACCCCTTCAATTGCTACAGGGTATTCATAGTTGAAAAACTGCAAACGAGTTTCAAAATGCGCCGTTGACCACCCCAAAAACAACAACAACAATTGATAGCCCGTTATCAAATGCAACCCTTATTGCACATAAGTGACCCTAATTAAAATTGCTTTGTGCGCGGCTTTTTAGTTTGGCTTTTGATTGCCTTGTTCTTAAAGATTAAGCTTTTGTTTTTCCATTTAACGCTTAATTTCAACGATTTCGATGGCCTAACACGATTTCCTCCCCTGCCGGCTTGACCCCGAGGATCGCTTGCGCAAAGAGTTACATAAGTAACCGGATCCAAGGCGAGCCAGAAGACGATCCCTTTGACCAGAGCCAACTGACCGCAACTAAACAAACACTCGACCTGATTCGCATTTGACTTATAATGCAAGAGATATAAAAAAGTATAAAAAGAATTTTTAATTGCATTAGAATCGCTGGATCGTTAGATTCTCAGATCGGGCTGCAGCGGCTCGACCAGTGTCCATCCATTGTCTCCGTCTTGTTTACTCTGTGCCTTGCCCCCGGTGTCCGGAACGGTTAACCTTTTGAATATTTAGCGGCACTTGAACCGCTGCCTTTTGTTCGCCTAGGCTAGTGGTCAGCTCCTCCTTTTTTAATGCACTTTACGGGCAGTGAATCAAGTCTTTTGTCTGGATGGTCGCATCTGGCTAAGCGGATCAGTTTCAGCTTTATAAACTAAGAAACCAGCGGAAAATTGCGGCGCTTCATAAGCAATTTGCATGCACAAAAAACTTCTTTTCTTTTCATTTCAATTTGTTCTTTTTCTTCGACTAAGTCGAAGCCTTTTTTTGGTAATTCTTTTGGCAATTTTCTGCAGTGTTTCGCATTATCAACCGAAGCATCATTATTTTGTACGTGTGCTCCACGCTTCGGCAGGGGCCCAAGCCAAAAATTGATTAAGTAAAGGTACACTAAGAGAAAATGCAAGAGTTTTGTAGAAAATCTATTTCTGCTTTAAACAGTTCCTGAATATTCTATAATTCTGATCTTTATAGAAGAATTTTGAATGGTAACTCAAAGGAAAAAATGTCGAATCCATAAACTAAATGTTTCCTCGTCTTCTTATTCCACACCCTTAAAGTATATATACTTCTCTTTCTGATCCAGCCTCTACGTCTCTTGAGATCTAGCTGCTAGCTCATTTAGCTACCATAGAAAGCATCTGATAGCCTTCTTTGTTTTCTAATAAATATAATGATGAGGTAAACAATATCTTATAAGCATCATACTAACAAATTCTATTAATTTCTAGCTGAAAACTTGCTCAGACTCAAGTTAAACACATTCAAAAATATATTTATATAACAATTTTCATAACTCTTTGCTAATATTTCTCGCAGTGTACTCATATACAAACACTGCACGTGCAAGAAACTGGGCACGGCACGGCTCAAGCTCAAATTGAAACTCAAACCAAGCTCAACTTTAACTTGAACCTTAATATCACAGTCTCATCCTTATCCTCTGACGCATTCACGCTCTTGCGTGACTCTGACGTGGGCTGCGCAGAGTTTCCCCCTAAAATTGGCTTTGATCTGTGGCATCATTAGCTCTCGAATTGTATTCTCCATAAATTTAACCATAAATGTAAGTCAGAATTGCTCAATAATCCGCACAGCTCAGAGAGTTGGCGTGTTGCCAGGCCAACCCAGGCCAACTAGGAGCGCCAGTTTCCTACAGCCAACGTGTGGGCGCGCCAGACTTCAGGCTGTGACAGCCAACAGGAAATCAAGGGAATATCATAACTGACTCAAGACGTAGGCAAGAAAACCAGTAAAGTTGTAGAGCTTCCTACGGCTACGCATTGAGACGAGTTGGCGTAACTCAATTTTGTCTCTATTTTGATGTAATTTAATTAAAAGGAAAAAAAGGAAAACTCTTTAATCTGTGAGATATGAAACGAGTTGAACGAGAACTAAAATCATATGTATGTGATCAAACATTAAAAGCGGGCAGTTTGGGACTTTAGATATAACCTTTGGATCAAATTCAAATTATAAATAAATTTAAAATAAATGTATATATAATAAATTTATATAAACTTATATATATATAAATATAAATGTATATATTCAAATTTGATATAATTTCTACTATGTTTGCAACAAATTTAAAAATTATTTACATTACAGTTTTATTGAAAGTTACATTTTTTAATTGAAATTTAATATTATAATCGTCTAATCGATATTCTGGCAACTTTTATATAGTTTCTACAATAATATTTAAAACAACATAATATTTAAAACAATAATATTTAAAACAATATTTAAAACACTTCATAATTGAAAACATATTTAATATATATTTCAATAAACAAATATTAGATTATATTTTACTAAAAGATATTTTGATTTACTGAAGTCGAAACTTAAGTCTGAAGAACATGGCCACATTTTCAAAATATATTTAGCTAAAAGAGCTACTGTTTCAAATACTTTAGAGATAACATACATTCCATATATATATTTAAAAAGAAACACATATTTTATAAGAAAATGCCAAGCAAGATTTATAAAATATTTTTAAAATTAAAAAAATTTTTATTTTGTCCTTGAAATATTCAGTTCAGATGTCAAATATCAATTCAATTCAAACAAAACAAAGACAGTTTCTGAGTTGCCAAATGCTGTTTTGGCCTGTGAATTTAATTAAAATTATATAACAAGCCCAATCTGATTAAGCTGCATAGCTAAAACGTAAAGAAAGAAACTCTTAAGTCTGTTTATATAATCAAACTAAAAGTCTAAACACATATTTCAAAATATATACATATTCATATTTCAAAAGAGTTTAAGAATTAATTTGCAACTTCTTTATTTGAAATATTTAACAGTTTTTTTTTCCCAATTTCAATTTATTGCTTCAGTAAATAAGCCTGTTTACATTTGTCCATATATTGCATCAGTTGTTTTTGCATTCAGGGCGTCAACACAGGCCAACTGCCTGCTACACCTGTTCTTAAGGTTTTTGGCAGGCAAATCAAACTTCACAAAATAATGTCGTAATAATAACAGTTCAGGGGTCTCTCTCTCTCTTAGAAGTAGGGTCCAGAAATCCGCATGACACGGTTCAAGTGCCAAGTGGCGCGATCGCGACAAGGGCAACAGAAAGCCGCGCGCTTTTGCTGCCCACATGCAGACGTGGCAAGGGCCAGGGCCAGGCCCAGGCCCAGGCCTGATGTGTTATACGGTTCGACGATTCTTAACGCTCATAGTTCCCCTTTGAACCCGCCCAGGCTGGACAGCAAATGCGACAACTGTGCAGCAGCAGAAAATAAACAAGAAGAAGAAGAAGTAGAAAGAAAGCCACAAAAACGAACTAAAAGGAACACCTGATCAAAATTTCAAATTATTACAACGAAATGGGCTAGGCATAAGGACACAAACACAGGGCATCATAGCTCGTGCGCGAGTTGTTATCACACACGCACACGCACACACACACGCAAACGCACACACTCAGCTATGGGCCATGAAAATGCTTTGGTCTAATGAGCACCGCTCTAAAGAATGAAAAACTTCCAACTTGGTCGCTGTAATTACGCGAGCAAAAGAAAATGCATTTCTGGGGTAAATTCTTATGCTCGCTCATAGAGTGAGTGGAGTATATTGGTTTTGTTTAGTATTTGATG